CATATGGCACGAAACAGATATTAAAGAATCATCTTGAAAACAATCTTAAAATATGTATAGGTACCTAATACATGTATCCATTGGCGAACAAACTATTCAATTTTTAAACGTAGATGATGCTCAATAAGAATAACCAGTTCCAATAACTCATTACGTATTCACTTTAATTCTATTTTTATTTAAATATTTTACAGAACAATTGATTATCACATAAAATTTCTAGCGCAATTTTACTACTTAATATTATGCTTATGTAACAATATACAATGTATATTATACATATATAGACAATAGGAATTTAATAATATACTGTACACAGTGCGTGTAGGTATAATAACGACGACGACGATCGGGCACACGTCCGCAACGGGTGGGCCCAATCGGGGCAGCGATAAATGCATCTTCATGCGAATTCTTTACCGCGGGAGCGGATTACAACGCCGTCGTCGCCGAGCCGCCCTGCTTTGATTGGCTCTCGAATCGCGCCCTCGTGTCGCACGCACAATGCGCTATGATATTACGTCGTGTATGATATAGAACACGTATATTTATAGCGTAAATAATATATAATGTGTACATATATATATATATATATATTTATACGGACGTAACGTATACATAGACTATACATATATTATGTATACAGAAGATGCGCTTATATTATAATTTGATTTATATAATACATATACGTCTTTATTGCGCCGGCGCACGAACTGTTCGAGGGGTTGAAATAATAATAATGGTAATAATAGTTATAACAGCGTAATGACAGCCAACTACTGCAACGCGCGGGGAGGTGGTCTGTATATATATATATCATCTGATGTTATTAAACGATCGCGTTTTCGCCGCTTTATATTGTAGTTACAGCGGGACGACGCTCGACGGCAACGCGCGTCTTTTCGTCTCCGAAGCTTTACATATTACGCAAAACTTCATCGCCGCTTGTTATATTAAAGCGGCCGGCAGTGCGCTTTCATTATTTTAGGGGATTAGATATGTGTATACACCGTTATTCGTTGTCTCTACGTCTATCGTTATGCGCAATACACAGTTCTTTAAGCGCATACTCTTTGTCCGGAATTCTATACACAGTAGAGTAGTGATGCGATGAGGAATATCAAAACAATATTTGTGTTCGTTTCGAAACGTATTCAGGATCAAATTGCATACGCTCCCAATCTCATCCCTCAGAAAAGACTACAAAAATATAGTCAACAATTTCGAAATTGACCTAAATATTCGTTTTTTTTAGAAATCGAAGAAAAAAAATTAAATTGTGGTAACGTTGTCATCAAGAAGACTTCATGATGGTTTTAAGTCTATTTTCAAATTCAGTTTTTTCGTACCTACATGACACACACACAGTAACGTGTAACTTATAAAATACATCTAATAATAAAAATACTCTACTTCTATACACAAAACTCAATTTCATTTCAACGTCACTAATTGCATATACTTAACAAAATTTATAACCATCAAAAGTATAATTGAATATATTATTGCATACCTATTTATACATTGTAAGAAATAAATAATGATGTTTAATAGCAGATTTACTATACAATAAAAAGACGAATAATACTAACATTAACCTTTCAACCAAAATAGTGTTTAAAAGTTTAAGATAAAATTCGTAAGATGATTTATATATCAGTTCTATATCATAAATAATAACTTTTTAATATCTTAAATGAGTCAATTGTCTTCTAATTTATTTGGCATTTTCAACAGTGGGCCATTTTTTTATCTCTATGTCAGGTTTACGAGTCATCAACAGTAAATTACTTTATATGCCAATTTTTTTTAAACCAACCACTTTATAAATGCAATAAAATTGCAAAGTCATAATCGTAAAGTATATATATATATATATATATATATATATATATATAGTAAGTATAGTTTCTAATCAATACGAATTTGAGTTATTATCCACTGTTTTTATAACTTAATTTTAAAAGTGCATAAGTATAGTTTAATGAAAATGAAACTATACTTATATATTATTACTGATATTATCTACAGAACGAATACAAATTACAAATTTTATAAGTGAGGTATTTTATACCATACTTTACAAGAAACATTTTACAATATTAAAATTTAGTTCGATTCGGCTTTATCAATATTATTACTTCTAGCAATTCTACAGAAAAAAAAAAAAAAAAAACGCGAGCCTATTCCACGGCCTTTCAATGAAAAATATTGCTACACAACAAATCCTTATGCAATCCTTTTTATATTTTTTATACTTTTATTCCTTCCTTCCTTACTAAGCCATTTATTTTTATTCTTTCTTTTGTATTTTCATCGCTTTTAACAAATGTCATATTTAACTTAAAATCCATGTGTTTATGTAATAAAGTTACCAAAAGTATGACGTTCTATAACTAATTAACAAAAAGTAATAAATCATTGGTCTGTATTTAATATTACTCTTTAGCTTTTTATAACTTGACTTTTTAAATTTAAAATTGTTGATATATATTTTATACATATTAAACTATAACTGCAATAGTACTTTATAATATAACATCAAACATGAAAACTTCAATATAAACCCTAGAACCACAAGATAAAACACAAACATCACCATTGGCGTGCATAGGGGTATCCCACTGCATACCCTAAACATAGAGCCTTCTTTCTAAAATTACAAAAAATAAATAATAATCATGACATACCTATTTGGTCTTATGCATATTATGTGATATCGCATTACATTATGATTTTAATTATATTTTTTTATTCAATCCCAGACAGTTTAATTTATTTTTAAAACACAAATCATATGCTATAATAACGATTTAATGTGTTAATGAAATTAAGAAGTACAACAATTCAAGCGAGATTAAATAGCTATCAACTACAGAAAAAGAAATGGCTATAAATTAAAATCTCGAAAACATTATTGGTGATTTAATAACTTAACTGTACGCAGAATTGTTTTATGATTAATTTTGATTATTTATCAAATTTATTTTGTTTTTTATTTAAGTATATAATTACGTTTTTATTTATTTACCCTATTTAAACGTATTACTCAAACCATTTCAAGTGTTATGTATTTAATTTTTTTTTTCGTAATTTATTTTAAATTTTAATTATGAAGACAGTTATAACGATTGAGAAATGGCTATTCAGTCACATTTTTAGGGGGAAAAAAATTAAAATTTTAAATTAAATAGTTATTAAGATCAGAATTTCGAATGCTTAAATTAACTTTCAGTTTTAGGGAGGGGGTAGGCAGTGGAAGCCTATTGCATACCCTGAAAAAGAGGTTTGCACACGACTATAAATATCACACCATAAATTAATAAAACGCAATATTTTGTAAATTAGTTTTCATAGTTAATTAATTTGAAATTGAATTATAAAGATGGTTGTAGGAATAATACTAACAATTCGGTAAGAATTTGAAATTTAATATAATTTTCATAATCTAAAAATAAATCATATAATGATGAGTCATGAATTTACCTATGAATCAAACGAAACAGTACAGATAAAGGTATACTAACTTATATTAGGTACCTACAACTTTACATTCAAATAAAGTATAAAATAAAAATGATCGACATTTATAGACAAAGTTGAAAAATTAATTCAACAAAATGTAACTGTAAAAAAATAATGATGCACATCGTTTAAAGAATATTTGTACTGAGTTTCTATTTTTCAATACTATTAAGTGTAAATCCATATCGTCTATAAATACCCATACAAAAAAAAAACACAAAATTATAGGTCCAAAAATGAATACAAAACCGTTTTATATTCATTGTAAAAGAATATCACGCAATTTTACATTCCAATATTCATGTATTTAAAGTTGTTTTATTTTTGTAGAAAAATAAATTTACCAAATTACATCCACCATATAAAATACGGTTTTATCGAAGCTTTATATATTCGTTATTCATTATATCCAAGACTAAAGAAATGAAAAATAAACGATTCCGTAGCAGTGTTCTTTTATTTTAGGGTGGCTATTGCATAAATCATGTCTTGCTGTCTTGGAGATCCTTACAATAATAAAATCAGGAAGAGGTACGAGGATAAAAAAGCTAGTAATCTAAAAGTCAAATGTCGAGAAGCAATAACGGCCGAGGTTAAGCGACAGCACATACCCTAAAGGGGATTACCTGTGTCTCTCCGTGATATATTACGCTCTAGACCCTGCGGGATTTTTATCCCTATTTCTACTAAGCTTGTCAACAACGATGACATTTTATAAAGAAAAAAAGCATAAGGATAAAATTCTATGATTATTAATTTGAAACTCATCAGAAAAGAAACACGAGGTTGATCAATGTTAAATTTATAAGTAATTAATTAATTTTGCAAATGATATACAAGAATTTGAATTAAGTAAGAGTTTAATAAAAATTAAACTTTTTAAACTGTTAGTAGAAAAATGAATGATTTCGTATTAGGATAAATTGAATCGATTTTTAGATAGATAGTAAAAATAATTGTACTCAGTCTAACTAGTATACATATGATTAAAAATGTAAATTTACTATATATAGGTAAGTACAGCATATATTATGTAATATTTCTTGTAGTTATACTTCCTTCAAAACACTTCTTGATACTTCCTTTCGAGAATAATATACTCCTCACTAGAGCTACAATCTAAAACTACAACATTTATGGTAAAACTTTAATATTTTCATCAGTTCCGAAACGAATTTTGGAATAATAATATTATTTTAAATTTTTTTTTTGTTAAACTAAGATCTAAGAAATAAATATAATTTATTCATGAAAAGTTAAAAAACATTTAAGTTAGATACAAAAAACATGCGATTAAGGGGTCTTCGGTAATTATTATCAATAATGTACTTCAATTATAATCATTATGCGTAGGTACATACATATAATAATTATATAAATAAATAATATAATAATTTATTATAATTATTAATATTAGTATTAATATAATTAATGTATAACAATTACATAAATTATTTATAGCTATATTAACTTACCGTTTTCTGGTGTTGTAAGGCTGGGACTAACTGGATTTCCAGTGATAGGCTCTCGGCGTAACAACAAATATTGCAATAACAACCGACCCGAACGCCTATTTCGTGATCGACGGTCAAACTCAGTTCTATCTAACGAACAAAGTTCATGGCCAGTTTTTGGAAAATCTTCCGCTCTGGGAAAAGGCAACAATTCGAATTGTTCCCCGCACCATTTTAACCAGGCAGCTATTTGTTGGCTATTCCAGACCATAGGATCTATATAGTACAATAAATTATATGTAATACATAATATTTAAGTAAGGATTCCTTAAAAATGATACAAATTTTGATTATATTTTAGGAAGTTAATAAGTTATTTTATCAATATTAATATTGACAACATTTTTAACAAAAATAATTTTGATTTTGATAATCCTTTGATTATTTACAATTACAAAATTGTTTAAGTTGATCGGTTGATAAAGGAAAAATATAAATCTAACTTATTTTTTTATGATTCTGGAATAAATTGTTATAAAAACCAAAATAAGATCTCAATTTTATTAAAATGTTTTCCTTTTAGGTTCCATACAAAGCGAAAATATATCGGTTGTATAATCTATTATATTTTATTTCCCCTTATTTTTATACAGAAAGTTTCACATAATAATTATCGAAATCGGAAATTGAACACAGATAGAAAATAAAAACTTCATTTTTATTCTATTAAAAAAAGAAATCTTTAAAATGATGACAATATTTGTGCTACGTGCAACAATTTATACTTAGTATGACAAAATTTGAAGATTTTGTGTATTGAAATTGAATATTGTATGCTAGGTTATATGCAATCTTAAGCCATTCAATTTAAAACTCTGGAAATAGTACAATAATACGTTATAAGTAATAATATTTTGAAATTAAACTAAACAAACCATAATAAATAACATTTACAAACCGTTTTATATTCGGTCTTAAGTACTTGTTTATTTTATTTTATTACTTTTGAGTTACAGTTATTATAATAGATTGAATTTTCAATACTCAGGGTCGGACATGTTAATGGTAACGGGTGTTACCATTAACTAAATTATTAGTTATTTATTAACATTATATAATATTGATACTAATACTAACATAGGTGCAATTAGGGGAGGGGGGCGCTTTGGACCTCATTTTTTAAAAAAAATAGCAATAAGTCAATTCCCGTAGGAGGGTGGGATAAATCAAACAAATAAATATGTTAGCTCCTAAAATTGTAATCGTAGTCGCACCAATGAATACTAACAAAACTATTCTACATACGAGGTATATTTTACATAATAAGAAAATAATGATATATTTCTATAAACCTACTTGTTAAATCACAAATAACAAATAATAATTTAACAATTCTAAAAACTTTTTAATTTTAATATTTTAAAACAATAATCGTTTCATTTCACTTGATGTATTTGCAAGTTTGTCAAAAATATTTTCATAATTCCACTAGAAAATAATATTGGCCTCAGAATTCCGTAAGATGAAAAATTCCAATAAGTCTTGACCGATAAGAGATCGGAGTCGAGTTTTAATAATTTTAAACTTCGAGAAAAAACCTTTATATGAAACATGGGTGAGAAAGACTCTTTTAATAATGTTTCATAAGCTATGTACAAATTTTAATTAGGAATTGCTAAGTAAATTAAAATACTTCAAGAATTTTAGAGCACATGGAATATATTTTTGAGTTTTGACCAATAGCACGATATATTATTGTTTCATCATTACCAGTTTCAAAATCAGAATTTGAATCTATTTTAGTTAGTTTTGTTATTTGACAAATACAATGTGTTATTTGAAATATATTAATATGTTGATGCAAATAATTTTAACTGATCAATCAAACTCTCACGTTCAATACAAATTATTTTTTCCAAAAAATACTTATACCTTTATCATTACTTTTAAATCGCCTTGGATCCAAGTATGATGAATATTGCTTGATGTCATTCGAGTCATTAAACCTATAATTCATTTAAGTAGATGTTGTATCAAATATAACTTGGAAGACACTGACACGATACTTATGTTTATTATTATCAAACGCACTATTTTTCTCATCCATCGAGGTTTCATCAAACATTATTTTTACTTTGTCGTTTGCAATGTTGTATACAGTATAAATATAATTATTTTATTGAAATATTGCCGTTAGTTAGTATAATACTTACTAAGTAGCGGTATAATATAGCAACAACAGTCAACAACTTATAACAACAAAATATCAGATCTACCTATACGGTACGAACAATCAATTGTATGGAGTCTGTTAATCATCCATTTTGAATTCCCAACTTTTTAAGAAGAGATATTATCACCTGATCAGAGACAGAACGAGCGGAAGATTAAAAAAATGTTAATTAAAAATGATAAAGGAATACTTTATCCCCTCATCCCCGCCCATGAGAGGACCCCATGATATTGCAAGAACTTAGCTTGGCGGAAATCACGAGTGATACTATTTGGGATTTCGAGGGTTTCGGGCAGCTGTGGTTTAATAAAAAAAAACCCCACAGTTGAACTTACCGTTTGGCAAAACGACCTCTGCTGAAGCGTTTCGATCCTCGGTCAAAGCTTCGTCCTCAGCATCGGAGGACATCACCCACTGCAGTTGCGCACCATATCCGATCTCTGCAGCAGTAGTTGACTCTACTAAAAAAAGCAGAAAACAAGGAAATACGTCACGCTTTGGTGAACTTCACATTATTGCAGAACTTCAGTATTTTTATCGCGTACAAGAACCGGACGATAGAAAATGCAGTAGATACAGTATACAATTATGCGACCATTACGCGTGTGATATTATAATTATTTTGGCTATCGTTTTTCGAAATCGCGCCAATACGTCGACACTGCACACGCACGGCGGCGGCAAAATGACTAACGCGCCTACAACACATACCCAGTTAGTACGATTGTGACGATGTGAAAACGAAAACTGAATCACGGGATTTTTTTTCTATTTCTTTGCGCATTATAACATGTCTTAAAATGTGGTGGTGCATTAAGTGTATGTACGGGCGCGCGCGCGCGCGCGCGTGTGTGTGTGTATAGATCAGTCGCGTCGTAGCGGCGCGCGGATGACGCATCCCGATTCCGAGACTCCGATCACTGACTAAACTCCATGGTACCGCGATATATGAACTCGATAGTCACACGGCATATCCTCGTGTGTTGTGCCCTCATCGAGGTCGTAGTAGATGTACAATATTATTACTTTTCGCGATCCATTCCCCTTTATTTCTAAAGAATTATAATTCGGGCAGCTTAACATTCGGTTGGATTAGGCCCAACAAGGTATACTACCGTGCGAACCATCACGGTAATGATCAATACGTGAGCTCAGTGGCGTATTTACGGGAGAGGGAGGGGGTCTAGGGGTACTGGACCCCCCCCCAGAACCTCTCCAAAAAATAAAAAATTAACAACAATTCTTACATATTTGCAGAATTGGCTATGTTAAACATTCACAGGGAAATTGAAATTACTATTGATGAAGTGATAGAGGAGTTGGCCAAAAAATCGAGACAACTGGAATTTATTTTATAACAATACTTTATAATATATAATGCTAAATACAATATATAGGTGCATATATATAGTATTACATAATACTTTACGATTATTACAATATATATTTAGTTCAACTTCCTCCAAAAACTGCATAAGGACGTAACTATTACAATATAATGTATAGTTTATATTAATTATGTATAAACTGTGGCCCCCCCCCCCCAGAAAAAATTGAAAATACGCCACTGCGTGAACTCTATTTCCTCACTAAGTGTTTCTCGCCACCTCCGTTATACACTAAAAACGAATTGTACGTGTTTAAAAAAAATAAACATTGTTTCATTAAGAATATAAATAAATAACTTTACTATATGTACCTAACAAAAAAATGTTAAAAACTATAGTTGACTGAAAAAATGGATTAAATTTGCAATCATTTTGAAAACTACACCCTTATCTAACTTTATTTGTACGTATATATTATATTTATTGCCATAATAAATTATTCGGAGACTTTAGAAATTCTCATTTGAAACCCTGGATTTTTAAACATCTCCAACCACCTCTCCTTCTATATGAGCCTAGTCCAAATTAAATTAACTGTGTATTGTAAGATTACATATTTTTGTAATATTACAAAACATATTTTTTTTGATAATTTGTTGCACGTGTAGAAATAAATGCATGATTTCCTATCGAATTTACAGTATTAATTAAACGAGAAAGATTATATCATTTTGAAATTAATCTTTTAAATACGAGCATTTAAGATTCCAAACCTACAAGATCAAGAATATCTGTCATTGGTTCAAATACTTAATTATGGGAGGATCTAATTTAATTCATCGAGTTTAGGTACCCAGTTTTTTATTATTCTATACTGTCCATTAAAACAACCTAATCTATAATAATTATATATTATATATTTTTGATAAATAATTATTATTTATCAAACAACGCTTAAATGTCTTGATACGATTTGTTAATGCTAACTTCTATAATTTGTACAAACGCCTTCAAATAATTACTATGTAAAGTAGTTGTATGTTATGGTTACACGCAAGAGCGTAGGTAGACTATTAAGGGAGGGAGGATATATTTATATAATAAATATTTTTATTATTATCTATTTATTTACTAGCAGGAATTTTGGCAATGGGAGGTTTGAACCCCAAGCCCCCTCTTATCTACGCTACTAATTACACGAGATCCAATTAAAGGATTAATATAACTAGATATTAGATTATAATAACATTGAGTATTACAAAATTAATATGATCTACTAAATTTACCTGGATTTGCCCAACCTGCCTAAAACAAAAAATTAAATAAAACCAACAATTATAATCGCATGGCTTTCTCATTATTATATGAAACAATCATCGTGAAAAGTTATTTCTCCATGAAACAACATAATGACGAAAAACATATAGATAATTCTACAGTGGTACACGATATTCAAGCATTCTCCACTTTCTTTTAATAAATAGGTAAACTTGGCGGTATATATCAGTGGCGCACACAGGATTTTTTTTCGGGGTGGGGTGGTCAAGGTAAAAATATAACACATTTTACAATTAACAAAATTATGCAAATCGTTAATATATTTTGACTTAAATAATAGCATTGATAATAAAATAGACTATTCAATACTAGCTCTTCATATTTCAAACTTGTAAAATTTGTAAATTTTAACCTAGACATCGGAGATAATTTCGCGGGGGTTACAACCCCTTACCCCCCCTGCGTTCGCCACTGGTATATATTAAGATAATAATTAATCCGACATTATTATTAACCAATCAAATTTTATTATTCATAAATCTCAAGTATTCTTACTAAAATATTTATGTTGAAGTACGTTTGGGTAAAACATGCTTTATTTTTCGTCTTTAGAAGAATATTGATAAATTCGAAGTTTAAATTACATATTAATGTTTTATTTACGTACTCCATAGATATTTGATTGATCAAACATGTATCAATTGTGTTTTAAGATGAAGATGTATTTTAAACTACCATTTTTATTTTTTTTATAATAAAAAACTGTCTGTCTCATGAAGACCAATATCGTTGCACTCATTGGTTAGCACGATTACGAGTTGTCATGAAAAACACAAAATGTCCAAATATACTTATCAAAAGCGTATCCTACCATTCTAAGTTGTCGGATAAATACCGCGTGGTTCAAGAGAATATTATATCATACACGTCATCAAATAGTAATATTTTTGAAATATCACAGTCCATAGTGTAAACATATTACTATTATAACGTATTCAATGAACCAGCCAAAGCGCCACTCATGCGTCATAAATATACTTTCACGGTCACAACTCTATACGTCATCACCATTCACTAAAATGCGGTACACGAGTGTTCATTCATAAAATTACCCACGTGACCATGTGCTCGTATACTGTACTATTATAGTATACGAGCACCTACATAACACTAAAATACTATCATTTTAATACTATTCAATTTATGTATTCATATAATAAGATATTAGAAAGGTGGTATTATTTTTACATATTTACTGTCAACATAACAATATGTAGAATGGGTTACTAAATTATTATCTACTAATTAATAATATATTCGCCATCGTATAATTATAAACAGTAAAATTACATTTATTTTTATATTCATACATTAAGACTTATGTTATTTTATAAAAATATTTAAAATTTATTTTAATATCATAGAATTTTATGATTAAAAACATACAAACATTTAATATGACATTAGATGAAAATGTTTACATTAAGTCAATGTGTACAAATGTGAAGCAAAACTATATAGATACTTTTTTTTATTTTTTATTTTATTATTATATAACGGGCAAAAAGTCCAAAAGTGTAAATATATTTTACATATATTAAATGAACAGAAAATAATTTTACATATCACTTACAGACAAATATTTACCTTTGATTATTTGACGTATAAATATGTATCCAGCGCTCACTAATGATATCCATAGCTAACGTAGTAATTAGTTTATAATTTTCTACGGATGGATTTCCTCCACTGCCGTGTGTCATTTATTAGTTTATTACGTATTGTAGGTCGAAAAAGACACTAAGCGTTTCAAGTGGATTACGGTAAAGAAGTATTTATATGACTCAAACTTGGAATTGGCACATAATGAGAAGTTCACATCCGGTTATTCCGCTGGACGCGATTTTGTAATCGATAACATAATTTTAATAGAATTTTACATACATATATATTTACACAACGCCTATACACATGATATACTGATCATAATTTGACAATGGTAAGACAGTTCCAACATAGGGGTGTAATTAGGGGGGATTAGGGAGATGGATTCCTCCCAAAACTTTTTTTTATGAATTTTTATTTATTATACTGTGATAGTATGATTATTAT